GGCTGGGGAATTCTGGGAGTTGAAGTCCACTCATCTTAAAGTGGCCAAGTTTGGACAACACTGCCCTAAGTTATTTAGGGTTTCAAAAGCCAAGACCAACATCTTAAGTTGTGCTTGGCCAGCAACTGATAGCAGTGCAGATCTTTGAAGGCAGGCAACTCTTTGCCTCTGCCTTGCATCAATAATCGCCCTAGTTATGCCTTTTACCTCAAGCAAATACTCTGCAGTGGCTCCATCCTTTTTTTTTTTTTTTTTGGCAGGGTGTTTTAATACATTCCTCATCTTTGCTTTTTCTCAAGGTTGCACATTGTCACGTTGTTCATTGTTCATGTGTGTAAACGTGTTCCCTCAGCATTGAATCAAGAACCACTTTCATTTTTCAATGGTTCTTTAGACAAGCTGCGTTATCAGTCCATTGGTTTATTTACTATTACATTCTGTACCACTGTTCTCCATTTCTTCACATCTGAATCTGCAGACAGGTCTTACGCCAGAGCACATTTAAGTTTGAAGGTTCTTCTGGTAACTGTTTTCTCTTTTCTTTTTGAAAAGATTGGACTGAGTTTTAGAAAATCTTGCTCTGTTATGTGATGGATAGGAGAAAACAAATTGCTTCAGCATCTTTTTGCAGTCTGTCAGCCCCCAAAGGTAGAACAGACTAAGAAACCAATGCTGTATAGGTCTGGACTACTTTTATTATAAGAGCTATAGTACTATAATAGAAACTTGCAGGTCTGAATGTACCTCCCCCTCCCTCACTTTATCTTTGTGTGAACTAAGGAGGGGCTTGTCTGAAACATTGTCTCAAGTTATCTTCTTGGCCCAGGCTCAAGCCCCTCTTATCTGACAGTTGCCTGGGTAGCGGCTCTTCCTCCTATCCTTCAAGGCTATTCTCTATGTCCTCTACACAATCTGAAGTAAGTGTATCTAGCTTTCAATATCCCACTTTAGCTGGAGTGGTAGACTCATAAGCATCTTCACTGCCATTTTCTTTCATGATATACATAGCCAATTCTGTGTATATGGGCTACAAAGTGAGTTATGGATTAAAAAACATCCAGTTCAAATCTTGCCTCTTCCATGAATTCATGGTGGCCTTACATAAGCTCTCCCTGTTGCCCTCAACTCCACCCTCCATATTCAAAAATACTGGGGACAATAATACTGAATTACCTGGCAGGATTCCTGTGAGTATTTCAACAAAATAATGCATCTAACGTGCCAGTAATGCTTGAAGGCACTATGCAATCTTAACTTCTGTTCCTCTTGGTCTCAGGGTCTGTTTTTTTTTTGCATTAGGCTAACCTAGTTCACACAGCAAAGCTAGCAATGTATGATGCAACAAGAGGTTTGTTTTCCTGCCAGCTTGTTGCAAAGTCTGACACTGAGTAGGGCTGACAGGGAGTGACCAGCTCACAGTCACTCAGCTGGCTTCCATGCCTAAGAGAGGACTAGAACCTGAGTCTCTCCACTCCTAATCCAGCACCTTAACCACTACATCAGTTTGGCTCTCTTGAAAGTGTTATGCAATAATCCCTATTGCCATCATCACCATCACCATCACCATCTAGCACTAGGGCTCTACATCCAGTAATGTTCTTTACATCAGATTCCCTTCATCTGTCCTCTACCAAACCCTTATTTTTCCTTTATTAATCCCTTCATCTTGTTATATGAAAAATATCTTTGCCCTGTTCTATTTGGTCTTTTTGTCAGCTCCTAATCTAATTTATTGTGGTTTCTGCCTTTCCAATCTCCATAGCTCTTCTCACACAGGTCTGGCAGGATGATGGCTCTCCAGAACTTCTGGCTTTTTCCTTGATTGCTTTGTACATTTTCTAGTTTCTCTATTGGTTTGCTCAGTCCAGCATATTCACCCTTGGAACCTTCAGTGATGTGCATTTATCTCTACAAATCCTTTATTTCTTCCCACTCCCTTGTCTGCTTATAATCAGGTTCTCTACTTAGACATGCTCCAAGCTGAATTTCAAACACCTTGATGCTTTCGCTATTTTACTGCCTTCTTCTTGCACTTGATTAGATTAAAAATAAACAAACAGCTGCATCTGTATTCTCTTCAGTCCTCTGGCTGTGAAGCTGCCCAAGGTGGGCCAACCAAGCCTTGGCAAAGAACAGTGGGGATAACAAAACACTAGCATTATGGTTAACGCTGGTAGATAGAGAGTGCATTGCTTACAGCCAAAGGCCGTTGCAAACCCAGGAATTGCAACAAGCATCACAAAACAAAGGGTAAAGCTATATTAATAGAAGCTTTGAAGGTTGTGGGATTAAAGTAGGTGGAGAGATTATGCAAATTAACAGATGAATTGTATCCCAGCACTATAGCCCTAATTCCATACCACTCTCCACTCATAGCTGCCTTTCATCAAAGAACTGGACACTGGGAGGTCTAATCATGTTATACCCAGGACTGAAGGCCCTGATAGGCTGAAAGCCACCAAACTGAGTTGATAGCCAAGCCAGATTGCCCAGGCTCAAACTGTACTCATGGAAACACATTTCTTAAAATTCTAGTGTGGTGTCCCATTCTTTACTTGAAAGCAAAAGCATGTTTCATAAGGAGGCACCAGGACTGGCTTTGGCTTTGCTAACTACAAAACAGTATTTCTAATTGTGATTAGAATCTAGTTTTGTAACAGTTCAATACTGGAGAGCAAGCACTTCTCATCGCTGAGGAATTTGTTCTCTTGTATCAGTACTAACTTCAGCTGGTCTTTTGCTTTCAATTGGTACTTGTTTCTAGAGGAAGTCCCTAAGCTACACTTCCCATGATAAAACTTAGTGGTTCCAGGCCAGTCTCAAAAGCAAATTCCCCTCCATTATTGGGGTTCCTTTGGCTAAGCAGAAAGATGGAACAATTTCCTGTGGGTAACACAGTTTGCTGGCCAGCTGATAGACATGAGACCACCTACCGTACTATGAGAGGCAGATACCTTCACATTCTCCAAGAGTATTTGGAGAATATTCAGTGGAAACATTCACAGAGGAGAAAAGGGAAGGGGATATCAATCATTTTGATTTAGAAGCTATGTGTATCTGTTATAGAGGCACATCATGATGGGATGTCCATATAGTTCAGAGGATTGATTCATTCATTCATTCATTCATTCATTCATTCATTCAACTGCCCATCTTCCCCCAATGGGGGAACTCTGGGTGACTCACAACAAACATTAAAAACATAAATATTTGCTGCTCACCCACAAACAACCTGCAATCCTTGCAGCAGACTCTGATTTTCTTTGTCTTCTGCAGCTTCTTCTTCATATCTGGCCATGTTCTCTCCTAATTTTAAGATGCAGCCAGAGAAATCTTGATAAATATTTTCACACTGAGTTTCTGCAGTCTTGAGCAGGTACCCTGTAAATGGGAAGGGGATTAATGCAACATCCTAGTAACACACACATTCTTTCAGATATCCTCATCTAAGGACCAAGAGCAATTGCCATTAAATAAGCATAAAATGTATGTGTACAATACATATGCACACACACACACACACACACACACACACATTATATAAGAGCCAGGAACCAAAATTAAGTAATACGTAGAATTCTGCTTCAAACATTGCACTAAGCTGTAATATGTCATTATTGTCTGAAAATCACAGTGTATGGTTTACTGTGTTGTACAAACCCAGCCAGTTGTGGTTTATTCAAGAAACCATGCTTTAACAAACCATAACTCTGCACATTAAGGCACTGCTTGCTTGACCAGATCAGTGTTTGGGATTTTGACCTGGAATATCTGGTTTCAAAGGGAGGGGACTCAACAATGAGTTCAGCCAGTATTATCTCTTGTAACTGTCCTCTTTTACAAGACTGTTTAAAAAGTAAAATGGAGAAAGAGGTGAAGCTGGTATTTAGAGAAAAAGCAGCAGTGAAAAACAGAACGAATCAGTATATGAACTGAAAAGTAAATTCAGAATTCATTCTGAATTCTCTGCCCATGTTTTCAGAAAACCTCACCAATTTAACTGAATTCTTAAAGTGTTCCTTGGAAATGAAGCAATGAATTTAAATAAATATATCGTTAGAAGTTGGCAGTTGCCCATCGCTGACCCTATCCTGGGCTCCTCTACCATCTTAACAATTCCAGGAAGTTAACAGATAAACATTTTCTGTAGCCTTCTAACGATGCAGAGAAAGACGAATAACATGAATTCCTGCCTACCAAACTGTCTTAACATTTCTGAATTTTTTTTAAAAAAAGTTCCCTTCATCGTTTCGCCCCAACCACGCATCCACCCGCCACTCCTGCTGGACCGACGCCTGGGACCGGGACGAGGTTAGGGCTTACCCAGCGCGATGAGCAGCAGCGCCGTGCCGGGGCGGAGTGCCATTGTCGCCGCTGTCGCTGCCTTGTTCAGGGGCTCCGGGTAAACTCGGTCCCCGCCGCCGACAGCCCGCCCATTCCTCTTCCCTGGGGAGAACCCGAGGGGCTTCTCGACCTCCCGACGAGCAGGACAAGGCGGGAAAGTGGCCCTGGCCAAGCTCCGCCGGCGCCTCCGCCCCGCGGGGAAAGTGCCGCGATCCCCCTTCCCAGCGCGCTCGCTGTTTCTTCCGGTCGGGCTCTCTGGCGCTGAGGGCACGGCAGACCTTGCCCAGGTGCCTTGCGGAGGGACACGGAGGAGGACGTTGCTAGTCGAGGGGGGGAGGCAGGGAGGAAGGGAGGGAGGGAAGACGAGGGACCGGGACCGGGCAGAACTAGCCCACCTCCAAGTAAACCGGAATGTCCATTCCGGTCTGCTACAGCCATGCGATCTTAGCCCCAAGTCATTAATGTGGAAAACTGGGGCAGGTTCTTAAAAAGGTCTGGAATCTAGAGTAGCTACATCAAGGGTTGGCCACTGCAGCCCTAGGGTTCCATTAGGCCTAGCCAATGATCAGGGATGATGGGAATTATAATCCCAAGCGTCCAAAGAATACCAGGCTGACCATTTTAGAGTTAATTCTACATCATACGCTTAGGACGTATCTCAGTTGTTAAAGGACGCTCCTTCATGGGTCTTGAGAAACACAGTTTTTCCTACTGCTGTTTCTCTGGAGGATGTCAGATTGGAGGTTGTTGTACAAATTGCCATGGCCACTGTGGGGAGGGTCTCTGGTTCCTTCACTGTGTCCTCAATCTTTTCTTTTTAGCTGGTTCTACTGAAATGTGTGGGCCATTGTGCAGTTTCTGAATTGCCTGGTGTTACCTCTGGAACTGAATGTATACCCCAATAGCCCACAAGTTAGTAGCTGCCCTAAATTAATAATAGCAATAACATTCTTGACTAGCATTCCAAGCCATCATTCTAAGTTCCCAATTCTACTTAACTAGCTCAGTAGCTTGGCAAAGAAGTCAGAGGCAGTTGCACAGATTCAGGATCAGAATCTACCCCTTCAAAACATGTGAGGTTACTTCTAAAGTATGTTTATGAGTCAGAATAGATAACATAGAAGATAAGGCTCTAGCCAAATTACAGAAACATTTCTAATTGCTAAGATTTCTTAACTCAGCCTTAACGCCTATTTATCTTGCTTTTGAAGTCCTGAGTAGCCCTACTTCAGGGTACACAGTGCAGTTAAAGCAAAGATTAAATGTGATTGTAATCTTCTGTTCCTGATCCTCAGGAAAGGTGTTGGCTTTAACTGAACTGGCTCTCCTTCAGAGCATCTTTTGCATGCATCCTGTGAGGCTATAAGATGGTTCATGACTCTGGGGAAGTTTGCTGGTCCTGGTGCCTACCTTTAATAGCAGCTCAATTTGTAGGAGGTGGTGGCAAGAGATAATGCCTAACTAACTTGCAGTCTTGGTTCTTGCAAATCAAGCTACTGTTAAAAAGGCAGGCACTCCTAGACCATCAGCTGGGAGAGCACAATATCACAGATCAGAAGTTCCCAGCATGGTGCTGTTAGAATTATTTTTTACCAGTTCGTTTCTGAGCCAGGATCAAAGAGACAACGGGCAGTTGCATGAAGTTGAGTCCTTTATTCTTCACCCAAAAGCAAAAGTAATGACAGCAAGCTGTTAGGTGGGTGGCTGCACTTGACCCCCTCATCTTGGCATAATATATACATTTCATTCAGCCCCTTCTTTAGAATATCACCCCTTACTCAGTCACCCATTTCCCACCTCAGTATCATTCTATATTAGGAACTTCCTTCCGTCCTTCCTAGGGCCCCTTGACCATTTAGCTAAACACCTTTTCCTTAGGAAAAGCTATCCTTGGAATGTACATCTTATCTTGTCTCTATGGGTACAGCTTCTTATCTATCAGGGTTAGTGAAAAAGGCCTCCAAGCTTACAAACGTGAAGAATAAAACATGATTCAGAAATCCTTAATGAAAGTCTAAATGCCTTAATACTAAATATAAGAATGTGTGTGTGTGTGTGTGTGTGTGTGTGTAAATACTAAATATGAAATATATGTGTATGTAATTATACAAAATCTTCTATCAGTGCCCTGGGGTGCAAGTATGCCTATAGACACCTTCTGCTTTACCTGACTTAATAATAAGTAGTTTAGTAATAAGTTTTGAAATAAGACTCCCAACTGCCAGATTCTAGCATCAAGTTTATTTCTAAGAGGTTTTTAGATGTATGGCTCCAGTGGAATGCTTTGGCTGGAAATATGCACACCTGTCTAGAAAAACAGCAAAGATAAACAGATAGGGAGTATTTTGTGGGGGGGGGAAGGTCAGAATTTAGACAGAACTGTAGTAAATCAGTGCTCTGTAGCTGCTTATGTCTCTTATGGCCACCATGTTGTGAATAGAAGTTATTCAACTATAATTCAAATATATATATATATACATATACATACACACACACACACATACATACACACACACACACACACACACACACACAGTATATATATGAAGGAATATATATAAGGTGGCTGGATAGTGTAGTGGTTAGAGCACCACCTTTGATATGGGAGACCAGGGTTCAAATCCCAGCTGGTACCTACCTTACCAGTAGGAGTTCTTGGGCAAAGACCCCCTAACACTTCACCTGCCTTTCCAGATCTGGAGGAGCACACTGCAGCTGTTCTGTGCTATATTAAACACTGCACAGATACTGTCACTGTGGACAAATGCGTCCGGATCTATCCCAACCAGAAACCCTGGATGACTAAGGGAGTCCAGCGTCTCCTGCATGACAGGAACAATGCCTTCAGGTCCGGTGATGG